GTCATAAACGTCCTCCCGCAACGCGAGCATCCGAAGAGGGCTGGTTGCACCAATTATTTTATTGACTGACCACATCTAATTGGATTTTCCCGCCTTAATCGTATCGCTTCATATTTAAATCAGAAAGATGTATTTCCCTCTTACTAATCACATATATGGTTGATTAGCATAAAAAGTTTTCAACGTACATGCTTCTCAGATCGGAGGAATCTTGTTTATCACGTCATAAACTGTAAAAGATCTACATTCTTAATATAAAGGAGAACGGGAATTACAGTCTTTCCGATTTAAAATGGAACGAGCTAGAATTGCTTGATTTTTTTACATTTTTTTTGTTCTCGATCTCGATTAACAGAACTTTCCCTGATTCTATTTGAGAATCAATCCAGGAAAAAAAGATCAATCAGTCGATCAACCAAATATTCAATCAACCAAAATCGTTGATGCAACTCTCCCGATGAACGATTCGTCGGTGCGTCGATGCACTGCTGACATTGCTGATTGCATTTCGCGATAATTGCGCGGCTCTTTTAGGACGGGAGTAACGAGAGGAGATTGCGGTTTATGTAATGCTGCGCTGATCGAATCTGCTGCTCCACTAATTTCCCGCTTAGGACAATCGGAACTTGAATTCTGCCGATGCGTAAATGGCCTGCTAATCGCTACCGTTGATTACATTTGAGAAATATCTACAAATTCTAAATCTACTTGTAATTTATTCACATTATCGAAGGCTGATCAATGCCATCTTTGGTGAATATCTCTGTAAGTGTTTATACGTAATCTTCAAATGCTAAGCGATACAATGGTAGTCTAATTAACAGTCCATCGCTGACGTCTATTTCTTTTTTTAATGTTCGTTTCGCGCAATATTACTTACGAGCACTTTTTAATAATGATCGCTAATTATTTCACAGATCACTCAATATTAACAGTAAATCCTAATTTGTTATCCTAATAATTTGTGTAATTTGTAATTATTTTCAAAGTAGTTCTCTAATAGTTTCTCGACAATTTATTTTCTATAAGATGATGATTCTAATTATGGGTCATTTAAGGTTAAAGTAACTTTTATTTATTTCTGCAAGTTTATTAATTAAACATTTTAAAAAATATTAATACTGATAAGCAGCAATATCAAAGAAAAAAATTATTCTTTTAATAAATTGATTGAGTTGCAAAAAAATTAAAATGTTTACGCATATATTCCAATTACGGATTGGCACATATTTTTATTTAATATTGAATTACTGTTAAATTATTTTTTAATAATATTCAAACTTATATTATTTTATCTTACACAATATAATAGTATTTAATACAAACCAGACTTAAAGGATTTATGTAATTTCAAGTATTGAAGAAAACTATCCCATTTATCTTTCTTTTATAAATATTACTATTTGAAAAAGTAAATGGTTTCATAAAAATATTAAAGAATATAACAAATAGTTTTAATTTTGATTATACATATATACATTGTCATACGTTAATATAAGTTTGATCCGGAATTAATACGGCCCATAATTGGGACGATCATCTTAGCAAATATCTTTATGTTGGCCAGCTGTTCGCTGTGTGTTCGATGTGCTGTTTCGATATCGCTAATAACTCTTTTATTTTTAATCGTCGGATTATTTCGCCATTTGATACGCGTTGAGCCAGTACCGCCTTTCGTACACAGATGAATGGAGTACTGGCGGTTGCGAGATGTCTATATATATTATGGCGGTGCAATTCTTACGTCATGCAAATGCGCGCACGCAATATTCCCGATTGCAATTGGAAAATCACGGTGCACTGCATTGCGGTGTGCTGCAACTTACAAGACAAATACGCGCCGTATAAGTAAGACTGTGTGGGTAGAGCATGGGTGTACGTATATACACAAAATAACACAAATCTTGCACATTCTTTGAGGAAAGTTACACAGTTTCATTGAAGCATATGCCTCAGCAGCACCTGGCTGACATAGTAAACGAATATTTCTCAAACATAAATATTACGGATATTTATAATTAATTTTCACAGACGTGTTCACATTTCTACGTGATTCATCCATCCTTAACATTTCATTCAGATTTCGAAGTTCTCTTATCCTTATTCGGTGAACTTTACTTCACTCACGCGAGCGAATTTCTTTTAAGGATAAATGTGCATTGAGTAATATGATTAACGCATTCACGAAAGAAATAGTTTTACTAGAGTGTCTAAAAATTTGTCCAAATACAGAATCTGAAAATAATTGTATTGAACTATTAAAATAATTACGTAATAGTTCAAATTGCTAGAATTGCTAGATAAAAAATTATCACAGTGTTATCAACACGTTTGAGCGTCTTACACAATTATTTGGCGATGACCCGAAAAATTATTTTCAAATTTATATCTGATCAAATTTTTAGACACTTCAGCCAAATCGGCGTATTACGATGTAGTGCAGCGATATATTTCGAGTACACGGAGGATTGTCGTTACCTCGTTTCGCGTTTCGATATAGCAGCGCGTTATCGGTCTGCGTTATCGCCGCGTAATCTGGAGCATCGTATTTTTCCGCGCGCCTTATGCGCGCGACCTTCGCGTCCGCCCGCGCGCCCGTCCCTCGCACCTCGCGTCAGGAAATGACGGGTGTATCCTCGCGTTTGCAGGAAGTCCAAGAGGGCCGTTCTCGACGAGAACGAGCAGCAGGAGAGCAGGCGCAAGCGTTCGGCGCCACCGGTGGTCGTGACGCAGGTGATCAGGCAGGACTACGATCAGATACCGGAACAGAAAATACCGGAAGCCGTGGCCGTGGACAGAAGGAGAATGGAGCATCCGCTGAACAGTCGGCTGTCGCCGAAAGTCACGCCGATCACGGACGACTACGAGATTAGTAACCACGTGCTGGGCCTCGGGATCAACGGCAAGGTGGTCCAGTGTTATGACCGGAACACGAGGGAGAAATATGCTCTTAAAGTGAGTGCTTCCGCTTCGCGAGTTCGGAACTTGATAAATTATCTCTTTGAGGTTTTACAAATTTATCTGAAAAAAATATAAGATTCTATATGGAAAAAATGCTTTTGTCGGAGCATTTAAAAATTTGACAATATATAATCCGAAAATAAACGTTTTTGATTGCAGTGAGTTTTGATCCGGGTTAATGCAGTCACAGTGCGCTTCCTGTACCCGCTTTTTTCATTCATTTTTTTTCCAATAATTGCACTCTATGTTCATCTCGCTTTAGATACAGGAAGTGCACTGTGATAGCATAAGCCGAAATCAAAATCCACTATAATCGACAACACTATAATTTTATTGGTTCAGCAGAATAATTATGGAAGATAAACGTAATTGTTATACCACAAAAGTTTTTTAATATTTTGATTAGTTTTTTAATATTTTTATTAGTTTTTTAATCAATTCGAATGTTTTACGTAAATATTTTAACGGCCTAACAAAATTATTTTTTGTATATTTCCGGTCAAGTTTTTAGGCCTATGGAGATAAAACGTCAGTAAAATTATCAGTTAAATATCATTTCCACATTGAGAGAAAGTTGGCGGTTCAAAGTCTATCAAGATGATTTAGATAAGACAGTTTGAAATGGCTGCGCTTAGGTTTTAGAAGCGAAGTCGAAATATGATCATATATTTCACAGGCACGAAATAAAGGCTCGAGGTGCATTGGGATCGAGCCGTTTCTTATCGGAAGGCGAGGAGGAATTTATTACGCATCGGCTTTTCTCGTCCATCTCGCGATGCGCCTACTCGCGCGTCCTCGGCTATTTTTAAGACGGCAGTGCGAGAACGACGCACCGCCGATCTAAAGGCGTTAATCCGAAGCGTTGACACTTCTTTGAAGGAACGCCGATCCGGCGCGTATCGATACCTGCTCGAATCGCGTCGTCCAAGCGCGAGTCATCCTCTATTTATATCCCGGTGATTTCCTCGTTCGATGCGATTCAGGCCCCTTAACATTATCTCTCCGCCGCCCATTTCGTTGACCCGCAAAAAAATTCAGTCAACTTGGTGGGAATTTCCCCCCGAGAGAGTCGTCGATGCATTCTCGTTTATCAAGCCGCGACTTCGGCTCTGTTCACGAGACAAGAGGCTGATTTCCTATTTCCGCATTTGGGTTGCACTAAAACTTTCTATCTTTTTTATCAAGCTTTTATAAAATTAGCTTTCATCAAATTTCGAATATATATATCTATTTTCATATTTCATTTTAAGTAAAAGTGTACATTAGTTTAAAGTGTACATTAGTTATAAAAAAAACCTAATTTAAAGATCTAAATATGGAAAGAACGCTTTTACTGAAATATCTAAACATTTGGCTAGATTTGAATACAATTTTGTTGGGCCATCAAAATAATTATGCTTAAACGTGATGATTATATTGTAAATTTTTTTTTATATCTAGCAATTTCAACAGCTAAATATTTTGGCGGGTTAAAAGAATTATTTTCAAATTTGTATCTGATCAAATCTTTGTATACTTCAGTAAAACTGTTCTTTGCGTGAACAACATTGAGATACGCACTTATCAATCCTCAATAAAAAATTATTCAATATTGCTGGACCATATCTCCGCAGGCTGTAATTGTAAGAAGCTTCATCTGTGATTTATGTCCCACGATGTATCTCGTTTGAAAGTCATACGCGGCATAGATAAGATTGCTACGTAGTCTCTTCGATTTTACGATAGAGATTATTTCAGTCACATGGCTAACAAATGCGTGAACGATGAGGTCCGATAAATCGATGTAATTAACTGATCAAATTGTGTGAATCTTATTTAGGAAATATTCATATTAACATATGCCATCATATCGGTATCTTGTTATATCGTTATTATCTGAATGGCTTAACTCATTTTCTGATAATTTTCGGTATGATAAAATATATATTTTGTATTGCGTATCTTGCAGCAACTCGTGCACGGAAAGAACATTTTTGTTGAAGTATTTAAAAATTTAGATACAAATTTAAACATAATTTTGTCGGATCACCAAATATTTATGTAGGACACTCAAATTGATTGTTAGAATAACGAAAAATTTTGCAACATTATCATTTTTATCTTACATAATTATTTTGATGATCCAACAATATTATTTTCAGATTTATATCTGGCCTAATTATCGCACATACTTACGTATATCTTTGCTAAAGATGATCAAAAAATTGATCAAAACGTACAAGATTTATAAAATTAATTTTATTAGAAATTAATATTTGTTTCTTATATTATTTCTTATATTATTTCTTATATTATCTTATAATATTTGTCTGTCAGTCTCCGCTTATTTTATTGTTATTTATATTAATATATCAGAGTCTTAGAATTTGTTTATATCTGAACAAATTTTTAAACATTTCAGAAAAAACGTTGTTTCTATGCGTATTATGCCGCACAATATCTTTAATTATCAAAATATATGCAGAAATTCATATTGCATTGTTCACAGCCGAGCGTTTCTCAACGAAAATTTTATTTTTGTAAGTGTTGTTTGCTTCGTGCAATTTTCTAAATTGCTTTCTTACTTTTATTGTGACTTGTCGCGCTTCGGCGAACATCGCGTGTTTTCGAATCAACATAAGATTGTTCGCGAAAGTTACTTCTCTGCACAGAAAGAATAATTTTGCTGGATATAAATCTGAAAAATAATCTTGTTGGGCCATCAAAATAATACTTCTCTAAGATGTTCAAACGTTGCTAAAATATAAACAAAGTTTGCAATATTATTTTAACGCTCTATGATCCATCACAATTATTTTTCAGATTTATATCTGGTCAAATTTTTAGATTCTAGCAAAAAATCCGTGTGCAAAGGCGATATCATACGATTTTTGTGAATTGCAAAAATAATATACAATTTAATGTGGAATGTTAATCGCGACTGCAGATACATAAAATGTCGATGACCGATTATGAGTACCACAATGACACTTGTATGTATGTCGTACGTCACAGTATATAATTTTCTTTTGTCTTTTCAGGTCGGTATATTTTCAAATTTATTAATCTATAAACCAGAAATTTATTGTATCAAAAACTAGACTTTGTACTCTATAAATTATGTTCATAGTAAGTACGTAGCGATTATAGTAATGTTTCTCTTTCGCAGAGAAAATTTCAGAAGCTTATTTTTTTTAGATTCGGGCGCTTGGTTCTTTTTACGCGAAACTCAATTGAGAGTTATTTCTTCCAGAGAAAGAGAGAGTCTAAAGGTCGGTGGCGTGAAACGCCTCGTTCTTCGCCTGTAAAAAAGCTCACTCTCATCGTGAAAAGATATCGCGGTCGCGACTTCTCGGATTCGTTACAAAAATAATCGGAATGTTCTTTCCGCGCGAAAGAGTCGGGCGGTGCGTTCGCGGTATCGCGGAATACCGCGAAGACCGCAATTTTTCGCAGCATCATATGACGACGCTGCAGTTTGCGGAAATATCGGCGTTGATCGTCAACATTTTCGCGCGTTCGCGGAAAACGCCTTTTCTCCTTCCTGCTCGAGACACCCACTCGGAAATCTCTCGACTAATGATACCTCTCTATCGAACGAGCGTTCAAACCTTTACGCGATTACTAAAAATATCATTTAGCTAATTATTCTTCTCTCACTGCATTCCACGACACGTGCGACGCGAGATAAAGTTGCGAAAAATCACGTGCGTTCACATCGTCTCGTTCCCCGATATACCGATCGTTGTCTCTCTCTCTCTCTC